TAAAAATAAAAATGAAGATCTCAAGCCAGGGTTGTCCTGCTATAGTAGCCAGACAAAAAATATTGCAAGAAAAGAAAATTTACCCTTCTGATATTTTTTACTTCCTACTGGTCCAAAATCCTTTTTTAAAAAATTTCAGACCAAATTCAAGATTGTTTTTTATATACCAACAACAACTGGAATATATCCTAGGAATGCAAAGGTATTTCACCATACAAAAATCAATGTATTAACCCCACACTAATGACCATAAATGTATCCAAAGGTAGTTCTGGATCCCAGAAGCTTACAAAATATTTGGACTGCTGTAATTAAATATGTGATTTGGTACCCTGGTTTACCTGTAAGGGAAGGGGATATTCTTTTTTTTCTTTTATCATAAGAACCTTCCCTAGAATTTATATTATGGTAACTACTACTTACTTTTGACACAGTAGTTTAGTTTAAAAAATAATAGCTAGCTCTGCTCATTGAAAATCACCCAAAGTTACTACTACTTAAAGTCAACCAACAGTTTGCAATATTTCTGCTATTTTCAAGCAGTTTTTATGCTGGTGTGTTTGGATTTTTTTCCTATAGTCTTTATAGCCCATACCATCCCATAACCTCCCTTTTAATTTCCCCCTTCGTAGCATTTTTGTCTATCTTTTAGACTTCAAAATTTTAGTAGCAATTAAAAAATTCAGTAGCTATTAAAAATAATAGAATATATACTTAGAAATACTTAGAAATATAGAATTGTTATGCTGATAGATTAATACATCTATATTTCTCTAACTCCGCAGATAGTTAAGGATCCCCATGGGGTAAGCATTTGGCTCCTAGCCCAAGGTTGATGATGAGTCATAGCCACTAGCCACTCCGAGGGAGAAAAGTAAAACTGCCTGTCCCGTGAAGATGTACAGTTTTGGAAACTATAAGTCAGCTCCTGTAAACATGAGCAATCTCAGAACAGCCAAAGAGCACTTCTTGCCTATAAGGCTGCTATGAGTATAATTGATGCGTAGGTATTTGGCTAAGCAGTAGTTGATACAAAATATGTATATAATGGAATTTCCATAATAAAATTGTAACTTTAATCATGGACTCTTCCAGATGTAGAGATTAAGAAACATTAATAGCCAACGTTTTTT